TGAAATATCATCATCTGTGTTGGTAACTATGAAATATCATCATCTACGTTGGTAACTATGAAATATCATCATCTACGTTGGTAACTATGAAATATCCTCATCTACATTGGTAACTATGAAATATCCTCATCTACATTGGTAACTATGAAATATCCTCATCTACATTGGTAACTATGAAATATCATCATCTACGTTGGTAACTATGAAATATCATCATCTACATTGGTAACTATGAAATATCATCATCTACGTTGTTAACTATGAAATATCATCATCTACATTGGTAACTATGAAATATCATCATCTACGTTGTTAACTATGAAATATCATCATCTACGTTGTTAACTATGAAATATCATCAGCTACGTTGGTAACTATGAAATATCATCATCTACGTTGGGAACTATGAAATATCATCATCTACATTGGTAACTATGAAATATCATCATCTAAGTTGGTAACTATGAAATATCATCATCTACGTTGGTAACTATGAAATATCATCATCTACGTTGTTAACTATGAAATATCATCATCTACGTTGTTAACTATGAAATATCATCAGCTACGTTGGTAACTATGAATATATCATCTACGTTGGGAACTATGAAATATCATCATCTATGTTGGTAACTATGAAATATCATCATCTGTGTTGGTAACTATGAAATATCATCATCTACGTTTGTAACTATGAAATATCATCATCTACGTTGGTAACTATGAAATATCCTCATCTACATTGGTAACTATGAAATATCCTCATCTACATTGGTAACTATGAAATATCCTCATCTACATTGGTAACTATGAAATATCATCATCTACGTTGGTAACTATGAAATATCATCATCTACGTTGGTAACTATGAAATATCATCATCTGTGTTGGTAACTATGAAATATCATCATCTATGTTGATAACTATGAAATATCATCATCTGTGTTGGTAACTATGAAATATCATCATCTACGTTTGTAACTATGAAATATCATCATCTACATTGGTAACTATGAAATATCATCATCTATGTTGGTAAACTATGAAATATCATCATCTGTGTTGGTAACTATGAAATATCATCATCTACGTTTGTAACTATGAAATATCATCATCTACATTGGTAACTATGAAATATCATCATCTATGTTGATAACTATGAAATATCATCATCTACGTTGGTAACTATGAAATGTCATCATCTGTGTTGGTAACTATGAAATATCATCATCTACGTTGTTAACTATGAAATATCATCAGCTACGTTGTTAACTATGAAATATCATCATCTACGTTTGTAACTATGAAATATCATCATCTACATTGGTAACTATGAAATATCATCATCTATGTTGATAACTATGAAATATCATCATCTACGTTGGTAACTATGAAATATCATCATCTACGTTGGTAACTATGAAATATCATCATCTACGTTGTGATCTATGAAATGTCATCATCTGTGTTGGTAACTATGAAATATCATCATCTACGTTGTTAACTATGAAATATCATCATCTACGTTGGTAACTATGAAATATCATCATCTACGTTGGGAACTATGAAATATCATCATCTACATTGGTAACTATGAAATATCATCTATGTTGGTAACTATGAAATATCATCATCTGTGTTGGTAACTATGAAATATCATCATCTACGTTTGTAACTATGAAATATCATCATCTACATTGGTAACTATGAAATATCATCATCTACGTTGGTAACTATGAAATATCCTCATCTACATTGGTAACTATGAATAATCATCATGATAACTATGAAAATCATCATCTAACATACTAATATCATCACACCATGTTACACTTGATATCTAGAATCAATCTATATGATAACTATGAAATATCATCATCTACATTGGTAACTATGAAATATCATCATCTACGTTGGTAACTATGAAATATCATCATCTACGTTTGTAACTATGAAATATCATCATCTACATTGGTAACTATGAAATATCATCATCTATGTTGATAACTATGAAATATCATCATCTACGTTGGTAACTATGAAATATCATCATCTACGTTGGTAACTATGAAATATCATCATCTACGTTGGAACTATGAAATGTCATCATCTGTGTTGGTAACTATGAAATATCATCATCTACGTTGTTAACTATGAAATATCATCATCTACGTTGTTAACTATGAAATATCATCAGCTACGTTGGTAACTATGAAATATCATCATCTACGTTGGGAACTATGAAATATCATCATCTACATTGGTAACTATGAAATATCATCATCTATGTTGGTAACTATGAAATATCATCATCTACGTTGGTAACTATGAAATATCATCATCTACGTTGTTAACTATGAAATATCATCATCTACGTTGTTAACTATGAAATATCATCAGCTACGTTGGTAACTATGAAATATCATCATCTACGTTGGGAACTATGAAATATCATCATCTATGTTGGTAACTATGAAATATCCTCATCTACATTGGTAACTATGAAATATCATCATCTACGTTGGTAACTATGAAATATCATCATCTACGTTGGTAACTATGAAATATCATCATCTACATTGGTAACTATGAAATATCATCATCTACGTTTGTAACTATGAAATATCATCATCTACGTTGTTAACTATGAAATATCATCATCTACGTTGTTAACTATGAAATATCGTCATCTACATTGGTAACTATGAAATATCATCATCTACGTTGGTAACTATGAAATATCATCATCTACGTTGGTAACTATGAAATATCATCATCTGTGTTGGTAACTATGAAATATCATCATCTACGTTGGTAACTATGAAATATCATCATCTACGTTGGTAACTATGAAATATCCTCATCTACATTGGTAACTATGAAATATCCTCATCTACATTGGTAACTATGAAATATCCTCATCTACATTGGTAACTATGAAATATCATCATCTACGTTGGTAACTATGAAATATCATCATCTACATTGGTAACTATGAAATATCATCATCTACGTTGTTAACTATGAAATATCATCATCTACATTGGTAACTATGAAATATCATCATCTACGTTGTTAACTATGAAATATCATCATCTACGTTGTTAACTATGAAATATCATCAGCTACGTTGGTAACTATGAAATATCATCATCTACGTTGGAAACTATGAAATATCATCATCTACATTGGTAACTATGAAATATCATCATCTATGTTGGTAACTATGAAATATCATCATCTACGTTGGTAACTATGAAATATCATCATCTACGTTGTTAACTATGAAATATCATCATCTACGTTGTTAACTATGAAATATCATCAGCTACGTTGGTAACTATGAAATATCATCATCTACGTTGGGAACTATGAAATATCATCATCTATGTTGGTAACTATGAAATATCATCATCTGTGTTGGTAACTATGAAATATCATCATCTACGTTTGTAACTATGAAATATCATCATCTACATTGGTAACTATGAAATATCATCATCTACGTTGGTAACTATGAAATATCATCATCTACATTGGTAACTATGAAATATCATCATCTATGTTGATAACTATGAAATATCATCATCTGTGTTGGTAACTATGAAATATCATCATCTACGTTTGTAACTATGAAATATCATCATCTACATTGGTAACTATGAAATATCATCATCTATGTTGGTAACTATGAAATATCATCATCTGTGTTGGTAACTATGAAATATCATCATCTACGTTTGTAACTATGAAATATCATCATCTACATTGGTAACTATGAAATATCATCATCTATGTTGATAACTATGAAATATCATCATCTACGTTGGTAACTATGAAATGTCATCATCTGTGTTGGTAACTATGAAATATCATCATCTACGTTGTTAACTATGAAATATCATCAGCTACGTTGGTAACTATGAAATATCATCATCTACGTTGGTAACTATGAAATATCATCATCTACATTGGTAACTATGAAATATCATCATCTATGTTGGTAACTATGAAATATCATCATCTACGTTGGTAACTATGAAATATCATCATCTACGTTGTTAACTATGAAATATCATCATCTATGTTGATAACTATGAAATATCATCATCTACATTGGTAACTATGAAATATCATCATCTACGTTGGTAACTATGAAATATCATCATCTATGTTGGTAACTATGAAATATCATCATCTACATTGGTAACTATGAAATATCATCATCTACGCTTGTTAACTATGAAATATCATCATCTATGTTGATAACTATGAAATATCATCATCTACATTGGTAACTATGAAATATCATCATCTACGTTGGTAACTATGAAATATCATCATCTATGTTGGTAACTATGAAATATCCTCATCTACATTGGTAACTATGAAATATCCTCATCTACATTGGTAACTATGAAATCATCTACGCTGGTAACTATGAAATATCATCATCTACTATGGTAACTATGAAATATCATCATCTACGTTGGTAACTATGAAATATCATCATCTACATTGGTAACTATGAAATATCCTCATCTACATTGGTAACTATGAAATATCCTCATCTACATTGGTAACTATGAAATATCATCATCTACATTGGTAACTATGAAATATCATCATCTACATTGGTAACTATGAAATATCATCATCTACATTGGTAACCATGAAATATCATCATCTACGTTGGTAACTATGAAACATCATCATCTATGTTGATAACTATGAAATATCATCATCTACATTGGTAACTATGAAATATCATCATCTACGTTGGTAACTATGAAATATCATCATCTATGTTGGTAACTATGAAATATCATCATCTACATTGGTAACTATGAAATATCATCATCTACATTGGTAACTATGAAATATCATCATCTATGTTGGTAACTATGAATTAGCAATGAATACATATATAATGAAAAGCAACACAAAATGATAGGAGAATTTTTCAACAAGACAGCCTTTAGAAATTCTTCTCAATTCACTAGCTTTGTTAAATTTTATTGAAGGTAAAAACTTCAAAACATTTAAGAGTAATGGTAGTATCCCATTATTTTGTGGAAGTTTCAATTCTATAAGAAATATTTGAAAAGCTAGAACTGCATCAACATGTCGCTTTTCTAATGTTACAGTACAGCACTTGATGGTCCATTTGATGACACTTTACGATAAAGACAAGCCATTCTTCTGACCACAAATACAATAGATGACTTGCCTTGTTTACGTTTTGCTGGCAGGCAGATTGATCCCAAGAGAGGTCAACCATTGTTGCTAGTGTTGTCCTAAATCACTTGACCAAATCTACCTGCCAGCAAAATGTAAACAAGGTAAGTCATCTATGCATAAGTATCATTGCTACGAGATCAAAGCAGTAGGTAATATATATATGGAAACTAAATCACTGTAACCACCATGCTCATGCTGGATTCATTTTGTAACTGTAAACTGATCAAAAAAGATACTGTCAGTACTTTACTGAAATAATGGAATTTAAAAGAGAACCTGAGAGCGGTGGCTCTGTTGTTTTTATGTTAAATGGAAAAACTTTGATGAGGATTTAATTCAAATGAAAGAATGTTATATGCAGTGCGGTGTTTGAAATTAAATGAAGATATGATCTTCGCACTTTTGCTGGACAATTTAAGCAATGGTCTCATAAACCTGAAAAATTCATCGAATCCCGTTGAGTCACCTGAATTTTTCAGGTTTATGAGACAATTGCTTAAATTGTCCAGCAAAAGTGCGAAGATCATACCTTCATTTAATTGATTTAATTCAAAGATACACTAATCAGTACAAGCAGACTTAAGAATGTACAAAAATTCCGAATAATCAGAAAAATGATACGAAAGAATGTCGAAAGTCAATTTTTGGAGTTTGTTTTATCTTGTTTTGTATACAAAGTGAGAGTCACAAATAATACAATTTAAGAGTTACATGTGTATTTCAAATACAGTTAGAATGTTCAATTATAAAACAAACCTTTTCCCAAGGTACTGGGGTTACACCTCCAGGATATTTTGCAAAATAATCAAGACAAGACGTTGCAGTTGCAGTCTTGCAAAAAACATATGAATTCAGCCATATTGCGTGCTCTCAGAATCAGTGCTCTCACAATCAAATTTCCTAGTTCCTTAGAAAGTGCTAAAAATTCCTCAAGTTTCCATTAAATTCCTTAAATTTGTAAAAATTACTACAAGGCGTGTCGCATGGGCTCAAAAAGAGTTTTTTCATGGTTTTTCCTCCTTTTTTGCTGTTTTCAAGTTTTTCAACGTTGTATTTGTAAATAAAAATTAAATATTATTAAGTAATTTAAAGGTAAAACCTTTAGAATATTCTATTTTTAAGGATAATTCCTTAAAAGTGAGAGCACTGATATGAATGTGAAAATGACTTGAGTCAGCGGTTATACACAGATAGGGGAAAAAGAAATGGGTTATCCCTTATCACAGGGTTAGCACTATTTTCCACCCAGCAAACCGCCCTTTACTTTACACAATCGGAAATAAATTAAAGATGGCGGCTAATGGGAAAGAACCAAAAGCTAAAAGGAAACCATGCATGCACTGGTGCTAGGTCGTTTTGAGATGGCGAGTAATTTTATATTTTTATAATACAGTTTTTAATATCAACATATGAAAATATTTACAGATAAATGTTGCAGTATAAATTTTCATGCAACCACCTTAAGTTATAAACTTATAATCCATGCTGGAAAATATGTCGTTTTTCGACGATTGTGTAAAATATTATATAAAATATTATATTGTGTAAAATATTAGATTGTGTAAAATATTATATTGTGTAAAATATTATATTTCAGAGTAAAGGGCGGTTTGCTGGTGGAAAATAGTGCTAACCTTATCACAGTGGTATTTATTAATAACAACGCTACAGAAATAATTAGCCCATTGGAAAGACCTCGACGAAGGTTTTTAGACTCTAATCATCAAACACGAGGAATGCAATAATCATTGCCATCACTGATGTACAGCTGATTACAATTATATTCCCAATGATGGTGATGATGCAACTGTTCTAGTGCAGATCCGTCGAGGTTGTGATGGTTTTATAAATTATAAACTCATCCCATTCACATGAGTCTATACCTTCATCATTATCATCAATAATTCCTCCTTCAATGATTCATCAGTAACTATAGCTACAATTTAATTTAAAAATTCAACGAGACTTACCTTTAAATGTGAAGTTGGATTTGGATTCTACAAGTCATCAACCAGGGAGTACAAGAGTTGCACGGAATTCATACGAAATAGCGCCGACCACTCGTCGACAGACAAATTTCGTAGCTTGAATTTTTGCTCCATGCATGGAATTGTAGTGACGTACATAACGTACGTATAATATTTTCTCAAGAATAATATATTGACATTAAAGGAAATAGCCTATCCTAGTTTCACTTAAACACATAATTTAAACTTACGCACTTGATCTTTTATACGTTGACTCACGCTCGGAGCTCATACGAAAGACTTATATAACGGTAAAGAGTGACGGAGCTGTGGGAGGTGAGATAAATTTCATTATACAATACCTAAAACTAAATATCATATTTGCTATGTTTAATCAAAGGAGGGTGTGCAACTCCTCCACTCCCTGGCTGATGACTTGTAGAATCCAAATCCAACTTCACCTTTAAAGGTAAGTCTCGTTGAATTTTTAAATTCTTCTACGTCATCAGCCTACGGTCGTTACGGAGTTGTACGGAATTAATACGAGATTTCAAAGCTGAAAGAAGCAAAAAACGACAACATTTATTACATAAGAGAAGTTGCGAACACTTTCTCAAAAAGCAAAACTTTTAGAGCAATTGACTCTTATTTTATAGTATTTAGAATAGAAGATACAAAATTAAATGAACTATCCTGAAGTTGTTTGTGGTAAAAGAATTAACCATTTTGTTAGGTTGGTTTGGTAGTTTGTCTGAGTGCCTTTTCTTCATGACGCCATAATAGTACTCACAGCTGAATTTGACGATCATAAGGATTCTATTTTCGTCTTGACACATGACATATTTTGAGCTCTAACTTGCGATACAAGGGATGGACTACAAGGGATGGACCTTGTATGGCATTGCTGGGGGTGTCAAATTCCTTTTGTACGGTAGAACTATTAACGGAGGCTTCACAAACACACGTTCTATGCGTGGTTCCTAACATCCACTCTGAATCTCGATATGTGCGACGAGATTCATGATCAGCTACTACATTCAAAACTCCAGGCAAACGTGCTGCTGTCAGCAAAAATATTTACTGTGATGCAAAATTCCTAGATTTTCACAACAATGCAATTTCCAATCTCAGTGTGGCTTTAGCCCAAATGTTGTTAATCATATACACCGCTGCACTGTTATCAATCATTATTTTGACATGTTTTTGTCTTTTTACATGAGACTCGAAAGACTTTAATGCCAGCAATGCTGCTTTCAGTTCAAGTGTATTAATATGATTATTTGTATCTATATGCATGCCCAATTTCCCCCCGTCTTTTGCAGACCAAAGGAAGCAGGAACGTCGCTACCGAGAGGTAGGGGTGTGTAACACCCCCATTTGCAAATTGAAACAAAAAACAGGTAAAAATCAGGTGAAAATCAGGTGCTAGACTAGTGCAATATTGACATAAACATAATATTTATCGATAAGACTATCAACTTAGATAATTCAATATCAGAAAAATGTGCGGTACGATAACGAGTACGACTTTTCTTTGCTTTCCTTCCATATCAGTTTATCTTACGATGTAAGTTTATACAGTGATCAGTGATCCAAAAGGTCAAAAAAAAGTAATACGTACTATTATACGTGACTTTAAACTGTTGCGCATGCGTTTGTTGCCATTCTTAAACTACTGGCATGTAACAGGTATGACAAAGCACATTTTTGATGCTAGTTAAAAATCATCAAGAAAATTTACCTTTAATAATAAAATTTGCAAAGAAACAATAACTGCAGTGATAGTGACAGTGATATGTTATACTTTTCTCTATGTTTACTCAGTATAAACTACATAAACAATTAATACTTTTTAGAAAGTAGACGCAAAGTCAAAGTCAAAGTAAACAAAACATTCAATCATTTTACGTTTTGACTTTCGGCGATTACGCCTAAGTCATCTTCAGGGATAAAAGTAAATATTTCTTTTCAGAACGTTTGTTTTTATAGGAGCATCTATAAGTGCTATACGTCATGCTTCTATTCTCAGTGAATGCAGGGGTAGCACTAAGAATTTCCCGACATAGGAGCTACCTAAGGTCCGCCACAGGGGGACTGACTTACTTGGCTTATTCGACCACGTGCAAAGTTGTTGCTTCAAAATTATCAGTCCCTGCCTAAAGAATATCAGTAAAACATTGTTGGTTTGGGAAATAATAACTTACATATATAAAATTCATCAACATGGTGTACATGAAGTAATAGATGGTCGTGTTCCCTCTTCGGTAAAAAATTGTCCGAAAAATTCCAAGCTTTTATTTAGAAAAGTACATTTTGATTGATTAAGTCGCAATCCTTTGTCATAAATCCGTTGCAAACATTTGTCAAGATTCTCATCGTGTTCTCTTATTCTGCCATATACTACAATGATATCATCGGCGATATTTTAACGCCTGGTAAACCACGTAGTTGTTCCTGTAGTGTGAACTGAAAAATCTCAGCCGCTGCGTTTGTTTCATAATTTAAGCGTTTTGTATCTAAATAATCCCTTATGTGTAATGAAAGTCGTAATATAGCGACTATTTTCTTCTAACTCCAATTGGTGATATGCCTGAGAGAGATCCAATTTCGAAAACCATTTTGCACCATTTAATTCAAGTCGGATGTCATCCACTGTTGGTATTGGGTGTCTGACTCTGTAAATTGCTGAATTTACTTGTCTCATGTCTACACAGAGACGTACTCCTCCATCCTTTTTAGGTACAACGACAATAGGTGAAATCCATGGAGTCGCTTGGGTTTCTGGTACTCGCTCGATGATGTCACTACGTTCTAACTGTTTAAATTCAACTGAGACTTTCTCACGTACATGGAAGGGAATACGCCTTTGTGGCTGAGCGTTAGGTGCGTGTGATTCATTGATGTTTAATTTTATCTGTTGTCCTGTCAGCTTAACCCAAACCACGAAAAACCTCTTCATGTTTTTTAAGAATGTGATTCATTCTCCTGTCACATTTAAGGGTCGTTTGCTGGAAGTATTAACGTGTTCTTTACTTTGATCTTGTGTTGAATTATCTCGTTTGGGCTTACTGTGACACACGCTCAAAAAGTGGTTTGTTTACCGCATTTGTGGCAGGTTTTTCCTTTCGCCGGGCAAACGCCTTAATGTGGGTGTGGACCGCCACAATAATAACATTTTCGAGTCGATTCAGATTGTAATATCTTTTAATTTCGCTCTTAAAATGTCAATATTAACCTCCTTACATGCTATCGTTTTTTCTATTTTTCTCACTCGTTCTCATGCCATTTTAAATATTGAGATGTAGGAAATATATGGATTGCGCGCTACATTTCAACTTGCAATTACCGCCGAACAATGTTCACAGCAAAAAAATTTCATCGCAGGTAGTTGGAAGGGCAGCCGACGTGCCTTTCTTCAAGTTTGCCCGTATATTGGCGGCAGTACCTGCGGTAAGGCTGTGGTGACTGTACTTACCTGCGGTGACGCGTTTACAACTACCTTAGACCATCGCCAAAGAAATCGCCAGTGTGCTCGCAGGTAGAACCCCGGTAGCTGTGAACCCGGCTTTTTAGATAAAAGTAATCCGTATCGTATCGAATCGTTACTATCGGTATCGCCCATCACAAGGAGGCGCAGCACAATTGGTTATCGGCGAGTGGTCGGCGGTATCTCGTATCAATTTCGTATAACTCCGTAGCGTATGTTGTATGGTCGTAAGATACGTGAGATAGTCTCAGACGTACTTTTGATGTAAGGTATCGCTGCTGTTGTCACTGAGTTGTTCGTTTCGTTGGGTTCACTTACAAACCCGTGTCGCACATAAACCAATCACAACGTTACGACAAGTACTAACGAACATAAAGGACAAAGAACAAGCCAACGAACGACAAGGTGCAGTTTACAAAATAAACTTCTCCGACTGCCACGCCTCCTATGTCGGGGAAACTGGCAGGAACTTAAACATAAGACTTACTGAACACAAACGAGCTACTAAGAAACAAGACAAAACTAATCACATTGCCGAACATCACCGAGTCACAAAGCACAACATAGACTTGGACTCGGCAAAATGCATTACTTAGAGTACTGACTATAGACAACGGCTTACATTAGAAAGTTGGTATACCAACTTGGAACAAACCCCCCCTGAACAGATCACAGCAATTACCGGCACCTTAGAAACGACTTATTCACAATACAAACAAGCGATCAACTAAAAACATTAAACTTCACACTAATTCACAATGACAATACACAATTGACACCCACACATTACAACTAAAAACATCACACCTATATCACACATCACAACAAAAATATTTCACTTCACAATAATTCACAATGACAATACACATTTCCTGTACACATGTCCTGTACACATGTCCATCTACATTGTATTGTGTGTCCAGTCCTTCTCAGGACTATTTTAGACACCTGATAGGCCTCTAAATTGCTGTTTTAAACATGCGTTGTGTGAGATTAATAAGTCCTTAATAACCGAGCTCGAAGTCTTTACGGAGAAATATCAGACCAAGGTTTGTACAAAAAGACAGAGAAAGACCGTAAACACCGCGAAACCGAGATTATTAAAAAGTTTACTACTTGGCATTATTTGACCTGAAACGAAACTTGCTTTCTTTCTTGTCTTTGCTGCTTTGTACGGGCTGCCTTTCACTTTACTAATTTTTTTTCAGTAGAAAAGAAATCGTTTCAAATTGTATTTTCTGGATAGTTAAACTGTTGTCCGAGTGTTTTTCCTTCGACTCACATTTGTTTGTGGTTTTTTGTTTTTTTTGCTGCAAGTGTACATTTTACTGTAAAATTACGCGTTTTGGACCGTGGTCGATTACGGGAAAATAACGGACCGGCAAAATGTTTCTGAGCCAATCAAAGCGCGCCATGTAATAAAATGCCTGCAATACAATAAAATTTATTTTTCAAATCATTTACACAAAGGGTAATTATTAAAACGTGTTTCAGCACTGCTAATCGCTAGACTCGTCCGACTATGTATAAAAATGACATAGAGAATTTCAATTTGTGCAATTTAGGAAAAGGATTTAATAGATAATATTGAATCTTATTTAACTTGATAAGGATCATGTAGTCAGTTAGTTCACAATCACAAAAAAACCCCGAAAATCGCACAAATATAAATTGCATCTATATTCAAATCTGGTTATTAAAATGCTACCAGGAAAATTAAACACTTTTCTTCTAGCAAATAATGGATGGTGGGACATACACCAAATGCCTCAACCCAAGTGACCCGAAAAACCCATCGTGAGATATGATTTAAGTATTAATCATTTGCTACATGAGATATGCCGGAAAGTGCTTTTACCTAGAGTATATCTAATATATTAATCCTAACACGGTTTTTAATATGCACATGAAAAACATGGGACTTGGACGAGATTTGAACTCGCACCTTCGGGATACCCATCCGCGGACTCGTAAGTAATATATAGGATAAATAAATTGATATATATAAAGTTGCCATTTGCTCTTTGGCATATATTAATTGAGATTGTTTATCACCTTATTCTTCAAATGTTCTTAAAAACACAGTCTTAATAGAAGTCTCTACATTTAATTCTACTAACCTTTTTGCCAGATTTTTTCACATCTTGAAAACATGTATTTACGAAAATAAGAAATGAAATGAGCACCTTTAACGTTTCTTTTAACGACTCACTTCTCGTCAAGATCCGCGACTTTGTTTCTTAGATGGTCTCCCTGTGTTCATATAGACGTAATGACGTCATTGACGTCATGACGCATTGTGGTCTTAGTAGTCACGTGAATGTAACTATATGACTACATGGCTTTTGTACTATATGGGTATACTATTTACGGTAATTCTGTGTTTGTTTCTCGTTTTCTTTTAAGTGCTTTTAATCCAAATAAAGAATTTAAATCTATTATAAACTAGGGACTACTGCAACTTAGCGGACACCTTGGACGCTGACCCAAACCCTAACCCTTTAATCCTAACCAAAAATGAGCCTGCGATCCGCATATTAGCGCTTCGGGTGTCCCTAAACTACAAATCTGTTCATAAACTCTTGCACGGGTTGTCATGGATTCGGCTGTCTTAAAAAACGGCAAAAGTCTAGTTTTCGTGTCAGTTAAAAAACGCACTAGTCAGTTGCTTCCTACAGCAACAAATTGCATCCCCGACGTTCTTTTTATTATTTTCCAAAATGTAAACATACATAGAATACACATATCTCATATCATTGAAGTATTTTTATCAAACGCCTGGCCGTATCGTTGGCTGCCATTTCACATGCCTTATAAGTTAACTCTTAATGGTCGTCAAGCATTAATACTTATCACCGGACGTTTAAGACGTTTTTTGATAAGACACACATGGAGGAGTGACTACCATACGAAACTAATACTACCGGACGTTTAAGAACAATACTTCTACGATACCATAATTCCTTATCCATACAAAGATCTGTGTGTTCTTTACGTTTACAGTTCAGAAAATAATAAAAAAGCACGGGATGAATTTTGTTGTTGTAAGAACGAATAAAGTGAAACCACTGTACTCTTCACTATGTTTGGCCGAAATTGGCACTGAAACTAGGCTTTTGTCGTTGATATACCTCGGCGTGTGTCTTCTGAGACCCTTAAAAAATAACATAATCTCAAAACAATGGAAGGGTGCATTAACTCGGATTTTCATTAATACCTCGAAACTAGCATTACGCTCTCTGAAAAAAAATTGAAGAAGTAAAGTGGCCAAAAACATTCTTCGTTTTTCCGGTGCTTGAAAAGTCCGTATCCTCGCGCGTGTCCATTGCGCATGCTCGAAATTCGAGTGCCACAAATCATTCATGTTGAAATTCTCAAATTAGGCCAAATTAGTTGTTTAAATTTTAAATGTTTTGGGTAGTTATTACATCAGAATATTGTGAAATTGCTCGAGAAGATTTATCTTATGATAAGTATTAAACAGTTTCCTGAAAATAGACATGTTTCGACATGTTTCAGAAAACTTGTCGTTTATATTAAATGTGCATTGGCAATAGTGCTTTTACGAAACTATGTAAACAGTTTCCAATTCATTCGTGTTTTCATTGGTCCACGAGTCCTCATCCAAAACTTTCGAGCGTACTCTAGGTGCTTCAACTACGTTGAATTTCATAAAGCTATCTTAAACCTGGCGTCGTTGTTTATCCTCTGTCATGCTTGGATTTTGTTTCGCTTTTGGAAGTTTCATTTTCAAGTATTTCTTCTACCTCAATCCATAAATTATAATATCTGTCGAAAAAAATTAGAGCATTGTTTATGCACAAAATACGCAGATACAAAGTTATGCAGAAAAACAAAAACATCTCTAACATGGTCACGGATATTACGAGTGACCTAACAAAGTGTTGATGAGTTTGATATGCTCATTTGTCAAAACAAGCTTAAAAAGACAAAGAGCATGCCAAAAATATATGATTGAAAATTTGCTAAGGGCATATAGGCAAGCAGTAAATTCAGCGCTCGCTCCGTTACAAATTAATTGAGATTTAGTCTGAGAATGCCTAATCAACTCCACCTAATCTCCAAGTTTACGGTCATGGCAACGACCAAATGTATGTGCTAGTACCGATTATGGAGTAATTAGCTCGCTCAGTCACAAATTTTCAAATAAATCATTTGCGCATGCGCAGTCGACTGGACCAACTGTCTAAGTTCATGGTCATGGCAACGACCAACTGCATCTATTGACACCGATCTTAAAGTAAATAGCAATGTTTAATAACAATTTAATAGAGAAATCATCTGCGCATACGCTCGAGCATTCACAGTCCACTTGAATAATTGTGCACTTGCACTATATTTGTGGCAATTAGGTCACTTAGTCGCAAATTATTAAAGAAATATTCTTAGCATGCGCACTAGTGACTTTAATAATACCACAACTTTCGTAAGCCTTTGAATTTTTGTATATATATATATAAAGCTAAAACTTCGTATAGTAGATGTCAACTAGCAGTGGAAGCTGGGTGCGATAAGGTATGCAGTGGCTTAGGGGCCCACACTTCGGTGGCGACCGCACTCTCCCTGCGTACCCCGAGCAAAGCCTATCGCAGGTGATCTCGGGGTTTGATGGGCGGAAGCTTGCTATTGCATCTCCCAAGTAGGATAGCGTGGAGGGGCCGAAATCTCCTACCGAAACATTAACATGCGGCGTTCTAGTGCCTTGCGCTTAAGAAGGTATCGGGAAGCATGGACCGAAAACGGGGTTTTTTCTTTCGAATTTTATCTTTTTAAAATAAAATAAACCAAGCAATGCTTCAATTAAATTCTTCTGAAACTGTCCCTTTTTATGACACTTACAATTCAAGATAACTTTAAACATGTTTTATACAATTTTTATTGGTTTATATCTTTCTGATTTAATTCTGTGATTTACTGTTTCTCATGTATCACGAGCAAACCATCCATGGACTTCATGGCAAACAAGATTATCTTGTTCCCTTAACTAACATGCGACGCTCTAGTGCTAAACTATCTCGGGGGTATTCGGAGGCATGGATCGAACACGGGATTTTTTGTTTTCAAAATTTGTCTTTTTTCTTTACAAAAATTCCTCTCATAAAAGAAACTAGAACATCCAATAATACAGCAAAAGTTCAAACAACTTCTGCCTTTTTGATTTATAATTTAAACCGACTCTAAGCAAGTTAATAAGTTTTTTACTTGTTACGTTTTTTAATGTAGCTTTCTCAGAACTCTCTCGTGATGAAAGAGAGCCTCGATCCTTATACAATATAAGTCTCTCGTCTTGAACGAAGGCATCCATGGGATTCATGGAAAAATGGGATTATCTAAACATTTATAATAGTTTCTACAAAAGAAAACATTTAATAAGCCAAGGAATTTGTATCTTCTAAATCGAACCTCCCTTTCGACCTTATGTTATAAAATTTTGACTAATTTTGGATTGTAAATTTCTTTTTACCTTCATGATATTTTCATGATTCAATCTAGAAAGTAACTTCTCCTCTCGAGTAATTTTGCGATTAAACAGCACAATTTTCGAATTCAAAGGAATTTTTTGATCGCATAAAGACAGCCGTACAATTTATTACGAACCTAAGCGTATATATAGCATTTTCAAAACACGTAAAAAATTTCCTTCACATGACCAAATTACCGTCTCTTTAAACGATGTATGTAATAAAAAGTTACCTTGACAACTGAAGCAAACCCTCCTTTTTCCAAGCATTCGCAACACCTCAAATTCATTCCGAATTCTTGAATTTTTCGCAGAGTAGCCGAAAGATTAGGCATCATTTCAAAATACTCATCTCCATCATCACAGCTATTTTGATTTCAACCGTGATCTTTTTCAGCGTCAAGCGTATCTGAAGTGATGTTATTGCTTAAACCGTGCGAAATGACATTTGGAGAGATAACAGGATGTCCAAGAAGCTGCTGTGCTAAGCATTGGTTACCGATCTCCGGAGATAGACGTCTAAACAAAGTATATGTATACAGTAAAAGTATAACTTTATTCAATTCATCCAAAGACCAAACTCTTTTTCCTTCCCATTAGTTGACTTTTTAAAGAAAACACCTCAAACATAAAACAATAGAAAACCAAAAATGTCGAAACGCGTTGACTTGAATCATACCCCTCCGGCAAAAATTAGAGAAAAATAGAAAATAATAAGTCTTTATATATATTTACTGAGCTAAACGAAACTTTTTCATATTTTTTTCATGTTTAGTTACACATACATACAGTTAGCAAATACAATAACCGAAAGTTTCTACCTGCGAATGAACGTGAACTAATCCTTCTATAATATCACGGAGAAGCCGCCACATTCTCTGTTGGTGCTTGTACTATCCCTCGTCAATAACATTCTTAGAGTACTCTTCTCACAATACAACATCTGCATACGCAAAACGTGCAGAATACACTTTGAATCTTCTTGCAAATCTCCTGTGATGATTGCTTCCTTTTCACTTTCGAAATCAGATTTCTCGTCCTAAAGGAACGGACACTGGTATAATTTTTACATATCTTCAGCAACATCATGAGAGGTTCACACACCATTATATCACGTGAGCCAACGAGCTTCCAAAATGTATATGTGATTCATCGATATTTCTTTTGGAATCATTTGTGTTTTGATTGGTCATCGAGTCCTCATCAACTCTCTAGCGTACGCTAGGTGCTTTAACCACGTTGAATTTCATCAATCTATCTTAAAACTGGCATCGTTGTTTATCCTCTGTCATGCTTGGATTTTGTTTCGCTTTTGGAAGTTTCATTTTCAAGTATTTCTTCTACCTCAATCCATAAATTATAATATCTGTCGAAAAAAATTAGAGCATTGTTTATGCACAAAATACGCAGATACAAATTTATGCAGAACAGCAAAAACATCTCTAACATGGTCACGGATAATACGAGTGTCCTAACAAAGTGTTGATGAGTATCATATGCATTTGTCAAAACAAGCTTAAAAAGACAAAGAGCATGCCAAAAACATATGATTGAAAATTTGCTAAGGGCATATAGGCAAGCAGTAAATTCAGCGCTCGCTCCGTTACAAATTAATTGAGATTTAGTCTGAGAATGCCTAATCAACTCCACCTAATCTCCAAGTTTACGGTCATGGCAACGACCAAATGTATGTGCTAGTACCGATTATGGAGTAATTAGCTCGCTCAGTCACAAATTTTCAAATAAATCATTTGCGCATGCACAGTCGACTGGACCAACTGTCTAAGTTCATGGTCATGGTAACGACCAACTGCATCTATTGACACCGATCTTAAAGTAAATAGCAATGTTTAATAACAATTCAATAGAGAAATTATCTGCGCATGCGCTCGATATGCGCCTAGCTCTACTATGTCGATAATTATACACTCTCTTTTCTATGGAAAGACCTTGTTGGGGGTATGGTTTCATAAAGTACGGTTTCAGAGCAAATGCATCATCACCCACCAAAACAAAAGGTAAACACTCTGAACATCCGGCAAGATATTCAGGACTTCGTAAGGATAATTTATTGTCCTCAATAGCCAATGCCAATCCACATTTATTCCATATTCCGCCATCGGATACACGACCATTTGTGCCAATGTCCCCATACAAACACTCATAATCAGGTCCTGCTACAGCAAGGACAACTATAGAATGAGTGTGCTTGTAATTGTAGAAGTAGGAGCCTGAATTTGGTGGTTGTTGTACAACTACATGTTTGCCATCAATGGCTCCAAGGCAATGAGGGTACTGCCACTTCTCATTAAATTTTTGGCAATATGCAACCATTCTCGCTTTTTGGATGGTACTTTCATATAATCTGGTTGAACATGATCGTTTATAGCATCACAAACATTTTTTACAATATATGAAATTGCAGAACTTGATATTCGAAACTGAAAACTTAATGATCTATATGATTCCCCAGTGGCCAAAAAACGTATGATCAATGTTAATCTTTCTGCAGCTGTGATTACTTTGTGACCACCAGAGACCTGACACGGCGTAATGTCTTTTTCAATATATCGTAATAACGTTTGAAAGTCGTCATAGCTCATTCGCATCATTTCTTTATATCCTGCGGTATCCTCCATTCTTAATTCCTTAACAATGTTGGTAAAATAGCCCTTTTCTTTTCTTTTCTTCATCCATGGTCTTGTTTTTCCTCTTGTCCAACTTCTTTTGTTTTCCTCTAGAAGTTCTACTACACATAAGGCAGCTACACAACGACGAATTTTGTGATATTGATGAATTTCAAAATTAGTGGCCGCCATATTTATTCGAATTGCGTAATGTTTAATCATCAATGATATAAAATGTTGTTTTCGTTTGACCAGTAGGGCACAACATCTTTCAACATCTTCCAACAAAGTTGGATGGTGTTAGTTGAAAATGTTGCGCTCGTTTGACCAGGGCTTTAGGTACGTAATAAATTGGAAGACTTTCTCTATACGATCAAAAGAGCTCTTTGAATCCGAAAAGTGTGCTGTTTAATCGCAATATTACTCGAGAAGAGAAGTTATATTCTAGATTGAATCATGAAAAAACAAATTTCCTATCAAAAATAAATCAAACTTTTATAACATAAAAAGTTGAAAGCGAGGTTCAATTTAGACGATACAAACTGCTTTCCCAGCTTATTAAATGTTATCTTTGTAGAAACTATTATAAAAGTAGATAATCCCATGAAGCCCATGGATTCTCTCGTTAATGATGAGAGAATTATGAGAAAAATACATTATAAAAGGTAACAAGTAAGGAAAAGTATAAACATGCTTTATGTTAGTTTAAATTATTTGTCAAAAAGGCAGAAGTTGTTTGAACCTTTGCTGTATTATTCGAAGTTCTAGTTTCTTTTATGAGAGGAATTTTTGTAAAGAAAAAAAACAAATTTTGAAAACAAAAAATCCCGTCTTCGATCCATGCCTGTCGATACCCCGAGATAGTTTAGCACTAGAGCATCGCATGTTAGTTAAGGAAACAAGATAATCTTGTTTGCCATGAAGTCCATGGATGGTTTGCTCGTGATACATGAGAAACAGTAAATCACAGAATTAAATCAGAAAGATATAAACCAATAAAAATTGTATAAAACATGTTTAAAGTTATCTTGAATTGTAAGTGTCATAAAAAGGGACAGTTTCAGAAGAATTTAATTGAAGCATTGTTTGGTTTATTTTATTTTAAAAAGATAAATTTCGAAAGAAAAAACCCCGTTTTCGGTCCATGCTTCCCGATATCTTCTTATGCGCAAGGCACTAGACCGCCGCATGTTAACGTTTCGGTAGGAGATTTCGGCCCCTCCACGCTATCCTACTTGGGAGATGCAATAGCAAGCTTCCGCCCATCAGACCCTGAGATCACCTGCGATAGGCTTTGCTCGGGGTACGCAGGGAGAGTGCGGTCGCCACCGAAGTGTGGGCTCCTAAGCCACTGCATACCTAGTCGCACCCAGCTTCCACTGCTAGTTGACATCTACTATACGAAGTTTTAGCTTTGTATATATATATATACAAAAATTCAAAGGCTTACGAAAGTTGTGGTATTATTAAAGTCACTAGTGCGCATGCTCAGATTATTTCTTTAATAATTTGCGACAAAGTGACCTAAGTGCCCCAAATGTAGTGCAAGTGCATCTAGTTAGTCGTCGCCATGACTGTGAACAATTATTCAAGTGAACAATTTGTTTTGGTGGGTGATGATGCATTTGCTCTGAAACCGTGACTTTATGAAACCATACCCCAACAAGGTCTTTCCATAGAAAGAGAGTGTATAATTATCGACATAGTAGAGCTAGCATATCTGAAAACCTCTTTGGAATTGTAGTTAACAGATGGAGATTTTGAGGACAACACTTCAGCTACCACCAGAAACTGTGGAATCCTTAATCAAAGCTGCATTTGTACTTCATAATTTCTTGAGAAAAGGTGCCTCCAGAAATGATTATTGTCCACCTGGTTTATGTGATGCTGAAGATTCAAGTGGTAAACTCATTCCTGGTCAATGGCGACAAGACAATTCAGCTATACTTACATCACTCAGTGTATCATCATCTGGTCATAACTCTTCAAATCTTGCAAAATCAATTAGGAATGCATTTATGGAATATTTTTGCACTCATGGTGCTATAGAATGGCAATGGGAAAGATGCTAGTTACTATTTACTAAAATATTGAATAGCCATTACATTGATAATTCATCAACAAACTCAATTTCATGCAATTTTGCAAAACAAAACTAAGTAAATTTTAGTCACTATACAAAGGTGATATGAAGTTGATGAAAATGTTGCAAGCTGTCTATTTTTTAAAATAACACATCTATTTTAAGTAAAATACAAAATTTTTCTACCTCATTCTGTCATCCTCAATTACAACAATAGCAACAGTAGAATACTAAACATGGAACTTATTATTTGCTATACATAGAAAGCTTCCTTAATATTGCACAGCATTTTTAAAAATGGAATGCGGATTTCAGTTTCTGTAGTCACTTGTGGATTTAACTGCATTTCATACGGACGTTCTTCTGTGAATTGCTGACCAATGTTTTGATTTGCATTTGTATGATTTGAATAAAAAAGTGTTGGATGGGATGTCGAACTATTCATTTCATTTATTTCCAGCTCAAAAATTATATCTGTGATGCGTTTTTCAGCAACTATTCTGGTTCTTGGTGGAAATTTTGATAACTTCTCTGCCTCATACATTGAAAATAGACACTGACTAACACTATTTGAAGCAGGCATTGGCTCTTTTAAAACGTCAATGCAAGTAGTAATAAGGTCTCTCTTTCTTCTTCTGCTTCAGCTCGTATCCTAGTGGGTGTTTTATAACTGCCACGTGATGATTTGGATGAAACCGACTCCGAATCCAATCCTGTATCCATCTCATCATCAACAGAATCAAGACGAGGAGATATATTTGAAGATGAATGCTTTGAAAGGTTGTCTTACTTTTGCCAGCGTTCATAACCGGACGAAGGAATTGTAATCGGTCCCATAAGCCCACGACGATGAATAGTTCTGACTCGAACTTTGACCAGATTTCGTTTTGTTTGTTTTCGCGATTTCTCGGCCAAGTTGCGCCCTTAGTGAAACAAGTCTAGCTTTAATATCTTTCACGCTAATCCCCAATATATTCTTCATTTCCTCGTAAGCTAGTTCCTTTACATCTCGGCAGTGGTAGTCCTTTTGAAATACGTCCCACAGACAAGGTCTTTCTTCGAACAAGTCAATCAAGGTGTTGGTCTCATTCGTGGTCCACTTTCTAACTGCTTTTTTCTTTTTGGTATTATATTCTTCTACAATTACTTCTTCGTCACTTAAATTTGCTATTTCGTCCGCCATGTTTATTATCAAGCTAAACGTATATTGCGCATGCGTATGACCAACATTGTTGCTAACGCCAGGTCAAACGATCGCAACATGCAAAATTAGCATAATTTGTTGGATAAAAATTTGACTACAATCAAATTCCATGCAACATAGTCCAACATCATGCAACATTATAGGGTGGTCAAACGGGGCCAACATTTTGTGACAACAAAGTTGGATGATGTTGGATCAAAATGTTGCGCTCGTTTGACTGGGCTTAAGCGTATATAAAGCATTTCTAAATCACGTACAAAATTTCCTTCACATGACCAAATTACCGTCTATTTGAACAATATATGTAATAAAAAGTTACCTTGACAACTGACGCAAATCCTCCTTTTCCCAAGCATTTGCAACACCTCAAATTCATTCCGAACTCTTGAATTTCTTGCAGTGTAGCCGAAAGGAATAGGCGTCAAATCAGGAGACTATGACCTAGTCTTCTATCATGTCCTGGTCATTAGGAAGTTTTCCAATGTTTTGTTTTACGTTTGCTCCTTAGTCTTTGATGATAGAACTCTAGCACGCGTTATTGTAGAGGTTCCCGGGAATATGGGGTGAAATAGCTAAAATCACAAGTAGCAGGAAATGGATTTATTGGTTGCAGTATAAAGTGAAGAGTAAAAACACAGATTGTTGCAGTAAGCATTGAATAGATTATACGGTACCCATTGATTGGAAGTGAGCATTGACGAGGGAATTGTGAATAATGGTGGTGGTGGAGGCACAAAGACATGAGAGCTCACAGATTTTGTCACCACTTGATAGCAACATTTACATCACCATCACAAGCTTGATAGATATGCTGGAGCACAGTTGTGTCTTCATTAGGGAAGATATTTGTTATGATGTACTTCTGTTGATAGTATTGAATTTTTCGTGTTTGTTGAATGTATATTAACAAAACCTTTACCTCTTCTGCATGGCTTGCAGCTGTTCAATCTCACAAGAAAATCTCGTCTTCTTTTCTCTGAAAACATACACAAAATGCAAACATTAGAGTTTCTTAGTAATCGTTAGATACATTTTGAGATAAAAATCTATTTATAATGTTGCCGACTAATGTTTATTGGGATTAAATTTGTAAGAAAACGTAAATATCGAAGCGTACTTAAATGTAATTTTTAACCTTTCAAAACTTTGGGTTGAGATTTGAACGAAAATTTACAAGTAGTCGGAGTGGTAAAATAAGCGCAAATGTACGCAAGCCAGATAAGGAAAGGTAAAAGATGTTATATACCTAGGGCCTCTTAATAGAATTTTAAAGCCCAAAACGTAACTTCTCGTGTTGGACATAAAGTGCAAAGCATGAATTAGTCTTACTTTTTAGTTTTTGAATAAGTGTTTTTCACTTAGCGGTTTTGTTCATTATTTTTTTCAAAGTTGTCGATTTCCGCGTTATTTTTAGTTTGCCTTGTTAAAGACGTCAATACTTAATCCCTTGTCTCGTGCTACGATAAAAATGTTTCCTCATGAATATTATAACTACTAACACGATTCACCTTTGGGCAATTAAAACTTTGCCAGCATCTCAAGCACATTTAATGTTTTGTATGTTTTTAAACAATGTTTGATTTAAAATAAGAGACGGTAGAGCGTTGTTGTCTCCAGTGCTGATGATTCAATAAGGACTTATTTCATAAAAACTGACATTCGTATATTTTAGTTCCGATGCTAAATTCCGGCCATTAGTGTATGCTAAACTGTCGAAAATTTACAGCAAAATCATCTTGATGAAATACCTTTTTATTCTTTTTGCAATCACGATTAAAGTTTATGGCATAAAACGTTTTTCCTATATATATTATATAACAGTTTGAGAAAACAAACGATGCACTATTTAGAAGATTTCTAAACGCAAGAAGAAGAGTATAAATGCACGGATTTTTGTAGTAGCCATTCTTATACAATGATATGGCAAGAAACTTGATCGCAATCATCAAATGATACGTGTGCTCACCAAAGAACTAATATTTATACGACATAAATGAATTTATATATATATTTCTAAACATGTAAGAATACAAAATATTGAACTCGATACACCTGATTTTCTAAGTGAATTTAACTGTAATCAAACCAATTCACGTTCCAGTACTTCGTCAGAGCCATAGAACATTGGTTGAACCATTAGTTCCCCTTCTTTGTGTTTGTAACACAGGACTGATCTCTGGACATCCCGATCTCTTTGGTCATCCCGATACAATTTTGCTTTTATTGCAATCGCAATGTTTAAATCTACCGCTTTGTCTGTGATTTCGTAGGGCACGAGTTGGCCATCCTTCAAGCAATTAGCATGTGTTCAGCGACCCGAAGATGAATCAACTTTTCTCGTTCTTTTATCCAGTAAAATATCGCTACAGTATAGGAATATACACTAGAGCCACTTTGCTGAGCATGTGGCTGCTGTGTATTTAATTAGTTTACTGGCTGTCGTTTGCCATATCGTTAATCCTATAGAGTCCTTAAGTGTGACGTCACGTTACCATGGCGCTAAAAATGCAGTTCTAAACAAAATATCTTATGCGAGCGCTTTGAACACGCTTCCTTTGTTTTGAATGTCTAAAGCTTTAATTATCCAGTGTAATCCCACAAAAGACAATAAAAGAAACCAGGAAAGGTTAAAGGGTCATCCAAGGGATCAACTTTTCTTTAAGAAGTGTAAAGGACGCGGGTCAAACGGGCAAAATGGTTTACTGTTTTGTTCTACATGTGGCCATTCGTCGGAGGCAACACTTGCAAGTTCTTCTTTTCCAAGCGCTACAATGCTGAACGACGAGTACAAGAGATGGGTTCGACTCATAAGGTATGTGAACTGATATTCAAAAAAATTCCTTAATCGGTGAAAATTTGATGAATTACGAGATTTTAAGTGAGATTTACGAACTCTCTTCAGGTGAAGAGTTGACATCAGGACATGAGGGAGAATCATCGAATACTGAATTATAGAAGCTTCAGCTAGTTGTCTTTTTAACGGTCGCTTTGTATTTTCCGTAGCCAAAACCTTAAATCTTAATGTTTTGAAGGTATATAATCCATCAATTTTGAGGATCAAATTTTTATCACGTTAATGAAAGTACGACAGAACTACACACAGCTTCACCTAGCCCAATTGTTTCATTGTAGTGTGGCCACAATTTCTTACATTGTTATAACATTCACTCATGTTTTGCATGAAATTTTGTTTGACCTAATGACGTCGATTCCATCCCGGAATAAAACAAGATCTCTGCACCTCCTCTTTCAGGGCAATTTGAATCCTGTCGGATTGTTATAGACTGCACAGATATTGAGGTTGCTGCACTGGGATTGATGAGTCAGCAAAATGCAACCTATTTATCATACAGAGGAATGAATTCCTTTAAGATAATAGTTGGTGTTGCACCAAATGGAGTCATTACTAATGTCAGTCGGCTGTATCCGGGTTCTATTTCAGACAAGGCCATTGTGCAACAGTCTGGACTGCTTAATCACTTGACAGCTGGAGATATGATTCTGGCGGACAAGGGTTTCCTTATCCAGGATGTTGTACCACATGGTGTCTTTGCCAATATTCCACCTTTTCTGAATAATGGAACTTTCACAGAGAGTGAGGTCAAGAAAACAAAAGCCAAGGCTAAAGCACGGATTCATGTCGAAGAGCCAATGCTAGGCTGAAAGACTTCAAAATTTTAGGCGTCATTCCTTTGTATTTGCACTGCTATGCTGCATTTTGTTTCAGTTATGTGCAGCACTTGTAAATTTGCAATTTCCTCTCATCAAAGAGGGATGTGAAGATATGGTTTTTGAGTAGTTTTATGCTTGAAGACTACATTGGACAGTTTTTTAATAATTATTGTTGTTAAAATAGAAATAAAATAATTTGTAGACTGAGGCTTACTTAGAAGAAAATACAGCTAGAGGGGTGTGGGGAGCATTCTAATATAACAGTAAAGGGATGATTTTACCCTAGGGATTACAATATTTATCATCTGGTATGGTATAGCCTGGGTGTACATAGGGTGTCAAATTAGATCACTGCGAGAATTTTTATCATGTTTAGGAGAACAGAAGTTAAAAGAAGTTTTGACGCATGTTTTACAATGGATGTCTTTTGGGAATAAAAATAAAAGCAAGTACTGTCCACAGTTACCCTTAAGGAGTCTTTCTGAACATTTCCATGAGCATCCCATCACTTTTATATGGGAATTTCCCTTCCCCAGGAAAACAACATTAAATGATGTACCATATTTCCATGTCTTTAAATACCATGTTATCCTTGTGTTTATTAATAAAAAAATATATGTATAGCCTGTTACCACAACTCCTCACACCAAACTAGTAGTGGTAGGTCAATTTGAGTACTGAAAACCGACGAGTATCATTATTTTTAAAACAAATCGTTCATTAAAAGCCTTTTATTTCACTTGAAGAGAAAATCACGCCCTCGTGTTCATTTGGGCAACAAAACAGTGTAAAACTTTATCTTGACATTTGGCATTCACCGTCACTTTATAAACCTTTTGTTTCATTCTTGCGTACTTCTCCTCATAAAACACTCTGCTGGTAAGTAAATGCTTCAATGTGATCTGAATTAAGTGGTTTTCCCCTTTTTATAGATTTCTTTCTTCTGAGAAGAAAGAAAAGCGAAGCGATGGATAATGTCTCCATTTTGAATCGAATGGGCGCTTGTTTGGAACTGAGATTTTAGCACCATGGAAACGTGACGTCACCACTTAAGGACTCTATTGGTCACAATGCAATTTACTGGCTGCCAATATGCTATCACATGCGTAATAAGATATGCGTGGCACGAAAAATTCAATGGAGTGTTGTTATGTAAACTGTGTTTATGAGATTAAGCTTTTCGTCTGATGCGCTCCAAAATTCCTGGCTGCCGTTGTAAAAATACTTTTTTATGACCTATATTTCTTATTTGAATGGGGCTGTTCAATATGTCACTCTGCGTAGTTCGTTGTCTTAAATTTTATCATTCTTAAGGCCATTCAGCATATCTCAAAATTTTCGATAAAAGTCTTTTCAAATCGATTGAAATAAAGATCCGACTGTCACAAACCGACTCTCGAAGGCTAACATTATATGTACATTTAATATACACGACAAGTTTTTAGACATGTTTCGACATCTCATGATATCTTCAGTATGAGTGAAATTATAGGTGATACAAGGTTTATATAAAAGTAATATGATACAGAATTATAACAATAAAAAGGAAATAAGATAAATTAATGGGGAGCATCCGAGCGTATTATAAACTAAATATTGTATTGAATTTAAAAACTTGAACATTGAGGTCAGGGTTAGTTTTGTTAATGTGGAGTGCTTCTTTGATTTTAAGGGTGAATGAGGTGTCGGCAGTGTCGATGATTTTGAAGCAAGAGGGTGAATAGTTGGTTTTACATGAGTGTGATTTAAGAAGGTGTCTGCAGGTATGAGAGTTTTTGTCTGTTGTGGTATGTTCCCTGATTCTGGTGGATAAATGGCGCGAAGTTTCGCCAATGTATCGGGAATTACATCCCGCGCAATTGAATTCATATACCAGCATAGATTTAATTGAATCAGGGATTGGGTCTTTGAATGAGAAAAGGTTTTTGATTTTGAATGATGTGAAAATTAGTCGAATGTCAATATCTGTACAGAAGAGTTTCATAATGTTTGTAAGTCTGCGTTGTGTGTGTCGTGAGTAATGCCCATTTTTTCGCGCATTTAAGATTTGCTCTAACCAAACGCTATTCAAAAAACAAATTCAAACACTCCAGTTTTTTATGTCATGGAATGGTTTCCTTATTACAGTCCGGAAATTCTTGATTCATAAACTCAAAACCAAAATCATAGCTAAAATAACCCCTGAACAAAAATACTGAGAATGACCTTCGTAAAATTTTCATTAGAATACCATATCTAGGCAAACAGGATGAACGTTTGGTTTTCAATCTTCTTCGTAAAATTCGCCGTAGCTTAAAAATTCCCATCAAACCTATAGTTATATATGAAACAAAAAAGACATCAATTTTCTGTCCCAAAAATGACAAATTTACGGAACTCTCTAAAGCCAATGTTATATATGAATTCAAATGTCCAGGCTGTGGTCATACATACATAGGCAAAACTGAACGAAACCTACACACAAGACTAACCCAACATGCCACTAATTACAATAATTCTAGTGCTATCTCACAACATTCACTCATTTGTCCAGACGCCAACTACATCTCACACCTTTTCTCACTTCCTGACGTTGATTCCGACCCCGATCTCACACGCGTGCCACTTAATCCTTGTAATTTGATTCCAAGTAACACCAAAATCTTATATCGCTGTAAAAATAATAATCCTAATCAACTTTCATCTTAGAAGCACTTTTGATAAAACGCAATATGCCACAACTTAATAGTGGTCTAAAAGCTCGTAAGAAACTATTAATGTAAGTATACTGCCTGATTGTTTGGTCTTATAGTTCTCTAATTACATAACTGTCATTTCCGCTTGTAAATATATAAGAGTTTCGCAGCCTGCATTGTAAAATATAAGTCTGATGATGTCTTTGGAATAAAGACGAAATATTACACAATCTTTGTTTCAAACTCTTGTAATATCTTCAATATCAAGAAAGCGAGATGTCCCTCTTCGGAATTTATTTTATTTTGTATTATTTGAAATTGTCTGCTTGTCCTGGTTACGCCTGATGTATGGTAGTTTGAAGTATAGAGTTGTTATTTTGGAAATGAAAATTCCCGATACATTGGCGAAACTTCGCGCCATTTATCCAACAGAATCAGGGAACATACCACAATAGACAAAAACTCTCATATCTATCGACACCTTCTAAAATCTCACTCAACTAAAATCAACTATTCACCCTCTTCCTTCAAAATCATCGACACTGCCGACACATCATTCACCCTTAAAATCAAAGAAGCACTCCACATTAACAAAACTAACCCTGTCCTCAATATTCAAGTTTTTGAATTCAATACAATATTTAGTTTATAATACGCTCGGACGCTCCCCATTAATTTATCTTATTTCCTTTTTATTGTTATAATTTCTGTATCATATTACTTTTATATAAACCTTGTATCACCTATCATTTCACTCATACTGAAGATGGCATCATGAGATGTCGAAACATGTCTATTTTCAAAAAACATGTCGTTTATCTTAAATGTGCATTGGCAATAGTGCTTTTACGAAATAATGGAAACATTATATGTTAACACGATCCGTTTTTAGAATCCGACCAATAGATCGTGAAACGCGACTTTAAAGTCGCTTAATAGCGCACCAGGAATTAATCTCCTCGGCGTCATTTGATGTTATTTTGTTATTTTGTAACAGTTGCGAGAAGTTAAGGGTTTAAATTAATTATTAATTGTTCTGCATTTGCCTCAAAATGCTGTGGATATTTTACAAATGTTGTTGATTCAAGTTACTTCCTATTCTGAATTTTACCATTTGTTTTATGGTAAGCTGACGCGTGTCTGTTTTCTTTAATAAGGAAAAACTTCAAATTAAGCGACTGTTTTTAGAGTTTTAGCGAAGTGGCTTGAGAAGCATTTACTTTACAGAATACTTTTCATAAGTATAATAATCGAAACCATCAATGAACAGGATTCAATTTTTTCAAATTAGTCTACTGTAAATTTTTTAGCGTGTAAGTTTGCAGTTCTTTTACAATGCGTTATTTTGATGAACACAAATTGTAAAATATAAAGATTTCCTTTGAGTTTTGATAAATTTGCAAGTAAGTTTCCTATCGACATTCGACACTCGATTTACGCCCGCCATTAAAAAGCAATTATGTTACAGGAGAACCAAACAATTTTTTCCTTGAGGGAAATAGAAGATTTGGCATAATACCATTGAAGCGTTGTATTGTTAAATGTATGTTACATGTTAAATGACAAGTTTTATTGTAAAATGTATCATGTAAAACAATGAATATTTTGGCTTTTGCCTCAAACCGTCACGTTAACTGACGCTGTTTGATGATTTGGTCTGTCATAGTGTAAGTAACTAAACACTATTCATAAGCAACTTCTTTAAGTAATTAGAAGATGATATAACATTGCACTGCGTCTAGATCTACCACACATGTGCTTGGTGCTACCACAGCAATATCTTAATCGGAAGACGGTCAACAATAATTTCACTTAATAAAAGAAATAGAAGATGAGTAGTTCAGAAAGGGATAAATCATCTTCAGGTCGTCGAACACATAATTGCGCTAAATGCTTGAATCATGGCATTATAACGCCACTACTAAATCACAAAAAATTCTGTCAATTTAAAGATTGCCCTTGCAATAAATGCAAAATTGTGTCGAGACGGCCAACGAGAGAACGTTCAAGAGATCTTGCTGCCGAACACAGAGAGGAGCAAGAAATTGTTGAGCCAATGTTCGATGGCTATGACGAAGAACATGTCCCTGAATTCAGTGGATTGCAAATGAATTTACCTAGACGATCAGGTACTCTTACATGTTTGGATATTGATACATTTATTTAGCAATGTCGTACAACTATATTCTTGTGTGAAGCAAAAGCATCATTTCATGATTACTGTAAAAAAAACTGTAAAAAAAACACGTGCGGTGGTAATTCTTCTTCCTGCGTTCAAAGTCGTTTTAAAACTTCTGGTATGTGGTTTGAAATATCTTATTTATAAAGAGCAAGCATAATAGGAAAAATATTGTAAAGATATTTCTTTAGACGATACTGCTGTAAATTTTCGACGGTTAACGTTTTCTATTTTCTAATGACTTTAACATCGAACATAAAATACATGAATGTCATGCAGTTTTTATGAAATAACATCACATTGAAAGCTTTAAATAAACTCAACGCTCTATTTCGTGTAAATTTTAAACCAAACAGAGATTGTTCTTCATTTGTATGTATAAACTTCAACTGTGCTAACAAAAACATTGTTAATGTAATTTATGAATATGATCTTGCTGAAATTGTCGACTTTGAGTATTGACGTCTTTAACTTAGCAGACTAAACAATAACGCGGACATTAATAACAATGAAAGAAATAATGAATAAAACCGCTGTATGATCCTTTGTAATGTGATATCCCATGAAAAACACTGACTCAAAAACTCATAAAGTGTAAGAAAGAGTAGTGAATGCTTTGCGCATTTTGTGTGCACATGTTTCAAGACGAAAGGTTGCATTTTTCGGGCTTTAAAAAAATTCTATTAGGAGGCCCTAGGTATAACCTCCTTTGCCTTTCTTTATCGGGCTTGTGTACATTGTGCGCTTATCTCACTACACCAATTTTTGTAATATATCGGCAAATTTTCGATGAAATCTCAACCCAAAGTTTTGAAAGGTTTAAAATTACACTAACGCTTCGATATTATTACAAATTTACTCCAAATAAACATTAGTCAGCGTCATTATAAATAGATTTTCAGCTCAAAATGTGTCCCACGATTACTAATAAACACTAATGTTTGCCACTGTTCTCTGGAAGCCATGTTTTCAGAAGAAAGAAGACTGAGAATTTCTGGTGTGAGGCAGCCAGTGTATCTATGAAGCTTGTGATGGTGATAACGATGTTTTCGTGCAGTTGATATTAAAGAATTTGCGCTCGTAACCCTCGTCATCTCTTTGAGCCTCCACCACCGCCATCATTACCAACTCCCTCGTCAGTGGTGATTGCCAATCCAATGATATGGCATAATCCATCCAACGATAACCACAGCAATCCATATTTTTACCCCTTGTTTTCACCACAGCCTGTGCAGCCAGTAAATCCGTTCCCTACTCCTCCTGATTTCAGCCATTTCACTCCATGTTCCAGGGGAGCCTCTACAATAACGCGTCCAAGCTTTCTCTCGGCAAACGGCCAAGAACGAAACGAAACATAAGACATTGAAACATTTACTTATGACATGGATACGATTGAAGAATAGGTCATGGACAATCACGCTTAATATTGATTTTAAGCTGTTTCATTCACAGACCTAGATTAACTTTTTACACAATAGCACTTTAACTATTTTAGCACAAGGGAATTTATTACTCAGTAGCTCTTTTTTTTTATTTCATTTCATGATAACATACTAATAAGTATTCTTATTTTTTATTGTGAAGATATCTACGAGAAAGGAGAATATTGGTTTACTTTAATTCATCTTTGTAATAAATCCTTTTATAAACATTTTAAGTATTATTATTGTTTTAAACGAGATCTTGTGTGAGATTGATATATCTTAAACTTATTTTTCGCTTCATTCAAACTATTTTTGTAAAGTATAAAACTTTAACGTGTTTCCACTATACAAAAATCGCCACATTTTCATGACCAATTATACAAAACGAAGAGGCACCAACATGTGAGGGGAGGGGATACTGCTTTCCATATTTCCCATACGAAGGTCTTTTTATATTTATCTTGAAATTATCAGTTAAATAAAACAGTTCGTGATATGTGTAAGTAATATTACGGAGTTTTGCCTACCCAACAATACTAAATCCTGCAGGCGTTCATGAGAAGAATATCAAAATCAGAATGTTTTCATTACAACATTAGTAACTAACAAAATCTTTGGCAATAAGTTACAAGCTGCCTAAAACAAATGAAAATGTGTCAATTAGAAGTCTGATTTTAGTTGATTAGGTAAATCGAGAACTGGACGCCAAGTTCAGTTCTACAGTCTGTCTAGTCAACATAGCTATTAGCTAATGTGTTTTACTTTTTGAGAAATTTCGTCGAATTACGGAATGTAAAAATAAAATACTGCTTACCTACATAAGATAACTAAAATACAAAAGTTTATTTTTGTAAAATATTATCTAGATGACTGGCCTTCTTCACGTGCAAGCAAATTAATCCCATAAAAGTTTGACCATTGTTGCTAGTGTTGTCCAAAACCACTGACCAAATCTGCCTGTCAGCAAAATGTTAACAAGTCAAGTCATCTATTCATAGTTGCAGTCAGAATTTCATTCAGTTTCCTGGTGTGAAAACACACATACTCAATAGTTGTTTGTGAAATTTCAAATGATTTCTATAATGTCACATTTTGGGAGACTTCAGACTTGCACCTAATTTATTACCTGGCAGTCTGTCTAACATTCTTTAAAAATAAATCATAAAAAATGCAGCAAACTCAACCAAACATCATGTATATGCATATATTTTCCAGTGGGATATAAAGTTACTACTGACATCAATACCATATCCTTTAATGATTTTCATCAATAACAGGGTCGATCAAAAGACTAGAGGAGAAAGCGGCCATTTATTGATATGTAAATTGTGTTCGTTTTAGACGGTGCTGTTTGAATTAGATTAAGCTCTTAATTCTGATGCGCGGCAAAATTCCTTGCCACTGTTGCAAATATCGCTTTTTTATGAATAATTACTTATTCGAAACTGCTATTAAGAGCATAAACTGCTATTAACAGCGCATGACAGCAAACCAGGAATGAATCAATGAGTCATTAGACTCCTAGGCGCCATGTAGAATTTTACGGTAGGTTGATTTTACTTAGTTGTGCTTACATTTATGATAGTTTAAATGTTTAAATTGAGCAATAATTGTTCTGCATTTGCATCAAAAGGCTGCTAATATTTTATAATTGTTGTTGATTCTAGTTACTACCTACTCTGAATTTTACCATTTGTTCTATTGTAAGCTGACGCGTGTCTCTTCTTAATAAGGAAAAACTTTAACTTAAGCGACTGTTTTTTTAGAGTTTTAGCGAAGTGTCGTGAGAACCATTTACTTTACTGAATACATTTTTCGTACGTATAATAATCAAAACCATCAATGAACAGGATTCAATTTTTAAATTAATCTAATGTAAATTTTCTAGCGTGTATGTTTGCAGTTCTTTTACAATGTGTTACTTTGATGAACAAAATTGTAAAATATAAAGATTTCTTTTAAGTTTTGATAAATTCGCAAGTAATTTTTCTATTGACATTCGACGTACGCCCGCCATTAAAAGCAATTATGTTGCAAAAGAACCAATCAATTTATTGAATGCGGGAAATACAAGATTTGGCATAATACCATTAAAGCGTTGGATTGTTAAATATATGTTTTGATGCGTATAAATGACGCGTTTTGTTGTAAATGTATCATGTAAAACAATGAATATTTCGGCTTTTGCTCCAACATCAAGTTAACTGACGCTGTTTGATGATATGGTCTGTCATAATGTTAAATTTAACACAATGCATAAGCAACTTCCGTAATTAGGAAGATGATATAACATTGCACTGCGTCTAGATCTACCACACATGTGCTTGGTGCTACTCACAGCAAGATCTTAATCGGAAGACGGTCAAGTATAATTTCACTTAATAAAAGAAAGAGAAGATGAGTAGTTCAGATATGGATAATTCATCTTCAGGTCGACGAACACATAATTGCGCTAAATGCTTAGTTCATGGCATTATAAAGCCACTACGAAATCACAAAAAATTCTGTCAATTTAAAGATTGCCCTTACAATAAATGCAAAATTGTGTCGAGACGGCCAACGAGAGAACGTTCAATAGAGCCTGTTGCCCAACACAGAGACGAGCAAGAAATTGTTGAGCCAATGTTCGATGGCTATGACGAAGAACATGTCCCTGAATTGAGTGGATTGCAAATGAATTCACCTAGACGATCAGGTACTCTTACATATTTGATATTGATACATTTATTTAGCAATGTCGTACAACTATATTCTTTGTAAGCATCATTTCATGATTACAATCAAGTTGCTTGCAATACAATTGTTTTAAAAGGCAACTGTAAAAACACGTGTGGTGTTAACTCTTCCCTGCGTTCAAAGTCGTTTTAAAACTCTGGTATGTGGTTTGAAATATCTTATTTATAAAAGCGAGCATAATAGGAAAATTATTGTAAAGATATTTCGTTAGACGATACTGCTGTAAATTTTCGACAGTTAACGTTTTCTATTTTCTAATGACTTTAACATCGAACCTAAAATACATGAATGTCATGCAGTTTTATGAAATAACTTCATATCGAAGGCTTTTAATAAACTCAACGCTCTATGTCGCGTAAATTTTAAACCAAACAGAGTTTGTTCTTCATTTGTATGTATAAACTTCAACTGTGCTAACAAAACATTGTTAATGTAATTTATGAATATGATCTTGCTGAAATTGTCGACTTTGAGTATTGACGTCTTTAACTTAGCAGACTAAACAATAACGCGGACATTAATAACAATGAAAGAAATAATGAATAAAACCGCTGTATGATCCTTTGTAATGTGATATCCCATGAAAAACACTGACTCAAAACTCATAAAGTGTAAGAAAGAGTAGTGAATGCTTTGCGCATTTTGTGTGCACATGTTTCAAGACGAAAAGTTGCATTTTCGGGCTTTAAAAATTCTATTAAGAGGCCCTAGGTATAACCTCCTTTGCCTTTCTTTATCGGGCTTGTGTACATTGTGCGCTTATCTCACTACACCAATTTTTGTAATATATCGGTAAATTTTCGATGAAATCTCAACCCAAAGTTTTGAAAGGTTCAAAATTACACTAACGCTTCGATATTACAAATTTACTCCAAATAAACATTAGTCAGCGTCATTATAAATAGATTTTCAGCTCAAAATGTGTCCCACGATTACTAATAAACACTAATGTTTGCCACTGGTGTATGTTTTCAGAGAAAAGAAGACGAGAATTTCTGGTAGAGTGGGAACAGCCAGAAGCCAAAAGAGGTAGAGGTTCTGTTGGACGCCATTTAACCAACACAAGAAGTACAATAACGCCACAAGATGTACAGCAGCTGATTGATATCTTTCCTGACGAAGACATATGTGTGCTCCAGTGTATCTATGAAGCTTGTGATGGTGATAACGATGTTTTCGTGCAGTTGATATTAAAGAATTTGCGCTCGTAACCCTCGTCATCTCTTTGAGCCTCCACCACCGCCATCATTATCAACTCCCTCAGTGGTGATTGCCAATCCAATGATATGGCATAATCCATCCAACGATAACCACAGCAATCCATATTTTTACCCCTTGTTTTCACAACAGCCTGTGCAGCCAATAAATCCGTTCCCTACTCCTCCTGACAGCCATTTCCTCCATGTTCCAGGGAAACCCTACAATAACGTCCAAGCTTTCTCTCGGCAAACGGCCAAGAACGAAACGAAACATAAGACATTGAAACATTTACTTATGACATGGATACGATTGAAGAATAGGTCATGGACAATCACGCTTAATATTGATTTTAAGCTGTTTCATTCTACAGACCTAGATTAACTTTTTACACAATAGCACTTTAACTATTTTAGCACAAAGGGAATTTATTACTCAGTAGCTCTTTTTTATTTCATTTCATGATAACATACAAATAAGTATTCTTATTTTTATTGTGAAGATATCTACGAGAAAGGAGAATATTGGCTTTACAATTCATCTTTGTAATAAATCCTTTTATAAACATTTTAAGTATTATTATTGTTTTAAACGAGATCTTGTGTGAGATTGATATATCTTAAACTTATTTTTCGCTTCATTCAAACTATTTTTGTAAAGTATAAAACTTTAACGTGTTTCCACTATACAAAAATCGCCACATTTTCATGACCAAGTATACAAAACGAAGAGGCACCAACATGTGAGGGGAGGGGAGACTGCTTTCCATATTTCCCATACGAAGGTCTTTTTATATTTATCTTGAAATTATCAGTTAAATAAAACACTTCGTGATATGTGTAAGTAATATTACGGAGTGTTTTGCCTACCCACAATACTAAATCCTGCAGGCGTTCATGAGAAGAATATCAGAATCAGAATGTTTTCATTACAACATTAGTAACTAACAAAATCTTTGGCAATAAGTTACAAGCTGCCTAAAACAAATGAAAATGTGTCAATTAGAAGTCTGATTTTAGTTGATTAGGTAAATCGAGAACTGGACGCCAAGTTCAGTTCTACAGTCTGTCTAGTCAACATAGCTATTAGCTAATGTGTTTTACTTTGAGAAATTTCGTCGAATTACGGAACAAAAATAAAATACTGCTTACCTACATAAGATAACTAAAATACAAAAGTTTATTTTGTAAAATATTATCTAGATGACTGGCCTTCTTCACGTAAGCAAATTAATCCCATAAAAGTTTGACCATTGTTGCTAGTGTTGTCCAAAACCACTCGACCAAATCTGCCTGTCAGCAAAATGTTAACAAGTCAAGTCATCTATTCATAGTTGCAGTCAGAATTTCATTCAGTTTCCTGGTGTGAAAACACATACTCAATAGTTGTTTGTGAAATTTCAAATGATTTCTATAATGTCACATTTTGGGAGACTTCAGACTTGCACCTAATTTATTACCTGGCAGTCTGTCTAACATTCTTTAAAAATAAATCATAAAAAATGCAGCAAACTCAACCAAACATCATGTATATGCATATATTTTCCAGTGGGATATAAAGTTACTACTGACATCAATACCATATCCTTTAATGATTTTCATCAATAACAGGGTCGATCAAAAGACTAGAGGAGAAAGCGGCCATTTATTGATATGAAAATTGTGTTCGTTTTAGACGGTGCTGTTTGAATTAGATTAAGCTCTTATTCTGATGCGCGGCAAAATTCCTTGCCACTGTTGCAAATATCGCTTTTTATGAATAATTACTTATTCGAAACTGCTATTAAGAGCATAAACTGCTATTAACAGCGCATGACAGCAAACCAGAATGAATCAATGAGTCATTAGACCTAGGCGCCATGTAGAATTTTACGGTAGGTTGATTTTACTTAGTTGTGCTTACATTTATGATAGTTTAAATGTTTAAATTGAGCAATAATTGTTCTGCATTTGCATCAAAAGGCTGCTAATATTTTATAATTGTTGTTGATTCTAGTTACTACCTACTTCTGAATTTTACCATTTGTTCTATTGTAAGCTGACGCGTCTCTTTTCTTAATAAGGAAAAACTTTAACTTAAGCGACTGTTTTTAGAGTTTTAGCGAAGTGTCTTGAGAACCATTTACTTTACTGAATACATTTTTCGTACGTATAATAATCAAAACCATCAATGAACAGGATTCAATTTTTCAAATTAATCTAATGTAAATTTTCTAGCGTGTATGTTTGCAGTTCTTTTACAATGTGTTATTTTGATGAACAAAATTGTAAAATATAAAGATTTCTTTTAAGTTTTGATAAATTGCAAGTAATTTTTCTATTGACATTCGACGTACGCCCGCCATTAAAAGCAATTATGTTGCAAAGAACCAATCAATTTATTGAATGCGGGAAATACAAGATTTGGCATAATACCATTAAAGCGTTGGATTGTTAAATATATGTTTTGATGCGTATAAATGACGCGTTTTGTTGTAAAATGTATCATGTAAAACAATGAATATTTGGCTTTTGCCCAACATCAAGTTAACTGACGCTGTTTGATGATATGGTCTGTCATAATGTTAAATTTAACACAATGCATAAGCAACTTCCGTAATTAGGAAGATGATATAACATTGCACTGCGTCTAGATCTACCACACATGTGCTTGGTGCTACTCACAGCAAGATCTTAATCGGAAGACGGTCAAGTATAATTTCCTTAATAAAAGAAAGAGAAGATGAGTAGTTCAGATATGGATAATTCATCTTCAGGTCGACGAACACATAATTGCGCTAAATGCTTCAATCATGGCATTATAAAGCCACTACGAAATCACAAAAATTCTGTCAATTTAAAGATTGCCCTTGCAATAAATGCAAATTGTGTCGAGAGCCAACGAGAGAACGTTCAATAGAGCCTGTTGCCCAACACAGAGACGAGCAAGAAATTGTTGAGCCAATGTTCGATGGCTATGACGAAGAACATGTCCCTGAATTGAGTGGATTGCAAATGAATTCACCTAGACGATCAGGTACTCTTACATATTTGGATATTGATACATTTATTTAGCAATGTCGTACAACTATATTCTGTGTAAGCATCATTTCATGATTACAATCAAGTTGCTTGCAATACAATTGTTTTAAAAGGCAACTGTAAAAACACGTGCGGTGTTAACTCTTCTTCCTGCGTTCAAAGTCGTTTTAAAACTTCTGGTATGTGGTTTGAAATATCTTATTTATAAAAAGCGAGCATAATAGGAAAATTATTGTAAAGATATTTCGTTAGACGATACTGCTGTAAATTTTCGACAGTTAACGTTTTCTATTTTCTAATGACTTTAACATCGAACCTAAAATACATGAATGTCATGCAGTTTTTATGAAATAACTTCATATCGAAGGCTTTAAATAAACTCAACGCTCTATGTCGCGTAAATTTTAAACCAAACAGAGTTTGTTCTTCATTTGTATGTATAAACTTCAACTGTGCTAACAAAAACATTGTTAATGTAATTTATGAATATGATCTTGCTGAAATTGTCGACTTTGAGTATTGACGTCTTTAACTTAGCAGACTAAACAATAACGCGGACATTAATAACAATGAAAGAAATAATGAATAAAACCGCTGTATGATCCTTTGTAATGTGATATCCCATGAAAAACACTGACTCAAAAACTCATAAAGTGTAAGAAAGAGTAGTGAATGCTTTGCGCATTTTGTGTGCACATGTTTCAAGACGAAAAGTTGCATTTTTCGGGCTTTAAAAAAATTCTATTAAGAGGCCCTAGGTATAACCTCCTTTGCCTTTCTTTATCGGGCTTGTGTACATTGTGCGCTTATCTCACTACACCAATTTTTGTAATATATCGGTAAATTTTCGATGAAATCTCAACCCAAAGTTTTGAAAGGTTCAAAATTACACTAACGCTTCGATATTATTACAAATTTACTCCAAATAAACATTAGTCAGCGTCATTATAAATAGATTTTCAGCTCAAAATGTGTCCCACGATTACTAATAAACACTAATGTTTGCCACTGGTGTATGTTTTCAGAGAAAAGAAGACGAGAATTTCTGGTAGAGTGGGAACAGCCAGAAGCCAAAAGAGGTAGAGGTTCTGTTGGACGCCATTTAACCAACACAAGAAGTACAATAACGCCACAAGATGTACAGCAGCTGATTGATATCTTTCCTGACGAAGACATATGTGTGCTCCAGTGTATCTATGAAGCTTGTGATGGTGATAACGATGTTTTCGTGCAGTTGATATTAAAGAATTTGCGCTCGTAACCCTCGTCATCTCTTTGAGCCTCCACCACCGCCTATCATTACCAACTCCTCGTCAGTGGTGATTGCCAATCCAATGATATGGCATAATCCATCCAACGATAACCACAGCAATCCATATTTTTACCCCTTGTTTTCACAACAGCCTGTGCAGCCAATAAATCCGTTCCCTACCCTCCTGATTTCAGCCATTTCACTCCATGTTCCAGGGGAACTCTACAATAACGCGTCCAAGCTCTCGGCAAACGGCCAAGAACGAAACGAAACATAAGACATTGAAACATTTACTTATGACATGGATACGATTGAAGAATAGGTCATGGACAATCACGCTTAATATTGATTTTAAGCTGTTTCATTCACAGACCTAGATTAACTTTTTACACAATAGCACTTTAACTATTTTAGCACAAAGGAATTTACTCAGTAGCTCTTTTTTATTTCATTTCATGATAACATACAAATAAGTATTCTTATTTTTTATTGTGAAGATATCTACGAGAAAGGAGAATATTGGTTTACTTTAATTCATCTTTGTAATAAATCCTTTTATAAACATTTTAAGTATTATTATTGTTTTAAACGAGATCTTGTGTGAGATTGATATATCTTAAACTTATTTTTCGCTTCATTCAAACTATTTTTGTAAAGTATAAAACTTTAACGTGTTTCCACTATACAAAAATCGCCACATTTTCATGACCAAGTATACAAAACGAAGAGGCACCAACATGTG